GGGAGCCCGATGCGGGACTCGATCCTGGGACTCCAGGATCATGACCTGAGCCGAAGGCAGTCACTTAACTAACTGAGTCACCCAGGCGCCCCACAAATTCAGTACTTCTAACCAGTCTACAATCTCAGGGAAGAAGCAGCAGTAAGGTGTGTATTGTTTAGAAAGGAAGAAAGTTATCTCTAGATGATATGACTGTCTACATGGAAAATACAAAAACATCTACAAAATAAATTTTAAGGGGGCGCCTGGGTGGCTCAGTTGGTTAAGCCTCTGCCTTTGGCTCAGGTCATGATCCCGGAGTCCTGGGATCCAGCCCACATCAGGCTCCCTGCTCTGCGGGGAGTCTGCTTCTCCCTCTGACCTTCCCCCTCTCATGTTCTCTCTCACTCTCAAATAAATAAATAAATAAATCCTTAAAAAAATAAATTTTAGGAAGAAGATTTTGTCAGCAATTTATACACACAAGATCAAGGCACCAAAAATGTTTCTATATTATATAGCCACCACAGCCAATTAAACAAGGTAATAATGATTTAAAAATTCACAGGAAGGGAATGAAAGGGGGGAAATCGGAGGGAGAGATGAACCATGAGAGACTATGGACTCTGAGAAACAAACAGGGTTTAAGAGGGGAGGGGGGGAGGGGGGATTGGTTAGCCCGGTGATGGGTATTAAGGAGGGCACGTACTGCATGGAGCACTGGGTGTTATACGAAAACAATGGATCGTGGATCACCACATCAAAAACTAATGATGTATTGCATGGTGACTAACATAACATAATAAAATTAAAAAAAAAAATTCACAGTAGCAACCAAAACTATGGATGGATGATGCTTAATTTTACATCTCACTCTCCCTGGGCCACAAGGTGCCCAGATATTTGGCCAAACATAATTCTGGGTATGTCTCTGAGGGTGTTCCTTGATTAGATGAACATTTGAACTGGTAGACTGAATAGAGCAACTTGCCCTCCATAATGTGGTTAGGCCTCATTCAATCACTTGAAGACTATAATAGAACAAAAAAGGCCCAGTAAAAGGAAACTCCTCCTGCCTGATTATTCAGCTGGGACACTGGTCTTTACTGGTCTTCAGACTCAGACTGAAACCAGCTCTTCTTGGGTCTCCAGCCTGCTGGCTTTTTGCATGGAACTTACACCATTGGCTCTCCTGGTTCTCAGGCCTTTGGACTCAGACTGGAAACTGCATCAGCTTACCTGTGTCTCCAGCTTACTGACTGCAGATCTTGGGACTTCTTAGCTTCCATAATTGTCTTAGCCAATTCTTGATGAATGTCTTTCTCTCTCTTTCTCCAGATGGATATATACACACATATACACACATCCTATTGGGTCTGTTTCTCTGGAGAACCCTTGACTAGTACAGGGTGTCCAGGAATTACTAAAATAATGTACAAGGCCTGCTCATGTATAGGAAGAAATTATATTGCTAGCTCTTCAAGGCTGAACCAACTGATAATCTCCACCTGCAGGCTCAAGCCCATTTCATCTTCTGTTTGAATCTTGAATAAGGTAGAAAGTATATCTACACCCTCTATCTTGCTCTCTCCAGCCCCCGTATATGAGGGCAGTGGTTCTCAAAGTACAGTGCATGGACCAGCAGTGTAAGGATCAGCATCATATGAGAACTTACTAGAAATACTTCACCTCAGATGTATTAAATTATAAGCACTGATGTTAGATGTCCAAAATCTGTTTTTTTAATATATTAAAATGCAGATGCTGATTCAATAGGTCTGGGGTAAGCCTGAGAATCTGCATTTCTGATAAGCTCCCCTGTGATGCTGCTGCTCCAGGCCTTGAGTAAAATAGGTCTGGTATTCACAATTAAATCATCCTCCCATATCCAGGGTTCCAGTTAAGCTGGTTAGATTCTTGTATTGCTTCCTCAGTGTTGACAACCAGACTTACACTAGGGCATCATTCCTCAGAAACATTCCTAATCCCTTCTCCTCCTCTTATCCCCAAAGTTACATTTCTTCCTCCCTATAATCAAAATACTTCTCTTTTTTTAAAAAAAGATTTTATTTATTTATTTAGAGAGAGAGCATGCACGAGCTGGGGGAGGAGCAGAGGGAGAGGGAGAGAGAGAATCTCAAGCAGGCTCCACCACCAGTGTGGAGACAGAGGCCACAACTCTGAGATCACTACCTGAGCCAAAATCAAGTTGAACACTTAACCAACTGAGCTACCCAGGCACCCCTCAAAATACTTCTTGGTACAAGTGTGTGTGCAGGTGTGCATATGCACATCCTCACTCACTCTTTCACCCAGGCACCCCCGGTTGCCAGAGGTGGTGATTGTATATCCCTACCTCATACTTCTGACCAAAGTACCTATCCTGTGTACCATGCCCACAGGATACTGTAAGTCTACTCTGAATTTAAGTCTGGTACATAATGTCCCATTTTTATGATTTATTTATAATAGTCCTTCATCCTAGGCCAGGTGAGTGTTTTATAAACTTGGCAAGTTAGCTTAATTCCCAAGAGTCTGTGGATCATAATTTGAGAAAAAGTGCAATAGAATATAAAGGATGTTACTTTAGGTGGTCATTTAGTGCCCTTTAACACAAATGGAAATGCAGGGACACTGGTACATGGGCAGAACTCTTTCAAAGGTAATAATCCAAACAATTCATAATATGCTTTTGTTAATATTTTTAAATTATTAAAATGGAAATAAAACAATCCTCATAGAGATCTCAGTATTTAAAAAAGACAAGACAAAACATTGGCCTAGAGCAGTGCCTATAGTCCCAGCATGGTGGGTCAGTACATCCAGAGCATGGCTACTCTAATGTCTGTGTCATGAGATACACCATAGTATAATGGTTAGATTGTAGACTGTTATTTTTCACAGAACTACAAAAAAAAAATTCTAAAATTTATATGGAACCACAAAAGAACCCAAATAGCCAAAGCAGTTCTGAAAAAGAAAAGCAAAGCTGGAAGTATCACAATTTCTGACTTAAAGCTATATTACAAAGCGGTAGTAATCAAAACAGTATGGTCCTGGCACAAAAATAGACACATAGACTAATAGCCTGCTCATGAATGGAATGGAAAATCCAGAAGTCAACCCACAATTATGTGGTCAATCAATCTTCAACAAAGCAGGGAAGAATATGCAATGTGAAAAAGATAGTCTCTTCAAAAACCAGTGTTGGGAAAACTAGACAGCTACATGCAAAAGAAACGACCACTTTCTTTCACCATGCACAAAAATAAACCCAAAATGGATTAAAGACCTAAATATGAGGCCTGAAGCCATAAAAATCCTAAAAGAGAGCACAGGCAGTAGTTTCTCTGACATTGGCTATAGCAACTTTTTTTCTGGATCTGTCTCCTGAGGCAAGGGAAACAGAAGCAAAAGTAAACTATTGGAACTACAGCAAAACAAAAAGCTTTTGCACAGTGAAGGAAACAATCAACAAAACTAAAAGGCAACCTATGGAATGGGAGAAGATATTTGCAAATGACCTATCCAATAAAGGGTTTGTATCCAAAACATATAAAAAACTTATAAAACTCAACACATAAAAGACAAATAATCCAATTTAAAAAATGGGCAGAAGACATGAACAGACATTTCTCCAAAGAAGACATCCCAGTGGCCAACAGACATATGAAAAGATGCTCAACATCACTCATCATCAGGGAAATACAAATCAAAACCACAACGAACTATCACCTCACACCTGTCAGAACGGCTAAAATCAACAACAAAAGAAACAAGTGTTGGCAAGGATGTGGAGAAAAAGGAACATTAGTGCACTGTTGGTGGGAATGCAAACTGGTGCAGCTACTGTGGAAAAGAGTATGGAGGTTCCTCAAAAAGTTAAAAATAGAACTACCCAATGATCCAGTAATTGCACTACTAGGTATTTACCCAAAGAATACAAAAACACTATTGCAAAGGGATACATGCACCCCGATGTTTACAGCAGCATTATTTATAATAGCCAAGATATGGAAATAGCTCAAATGCCCATCAATTGATGAATGGATGAATGGATAAAGACGATGTGAGTCTTACATAATGTAACAATCACAGTTGTGACATCCCATCACCTTTGCCATAATCTATTGGTTAGAAGTAAGTCACAGGTTCTGCCCACCCTCAAGGGATTATAGAAAGGCATGAATACCAGGAGGTGGGAATCATCAGAAGTATCGCAGGATTACATTTAATATAAAAGACTCTTGTACCCCGCCCCTGCATAGTGTGCCACTTAGACCTTAAGAATCAGTCGTTGTATCCAGACCACCCAACCTTGGTGAACTGATGTCCAAGCAGGTCTCAACTCCATTTTCTTCCAGGTCTATACATGTTTCAGGATGTTAGGCATATATTCTAGTATTCAAAAATTCATACCCAATATCTAACAGGAAAAACTACATGAATCCTATAAAACCAATGCCCCTTCCCATTTTCCTAGGCTTAACTTCTCTTCTCTTTTCCTAATGGAAGTTGGAGTTCCTAATTTCGTAAACAGGAATGGAAAAAGGAAAGTCTGACACCTGCTTCTTCCTTCATTCACTGTTTTTGTTTTTGTTTTGTTTTGTTTTGAACCTCCCCTACCCTGAATTTTTTCCTGGCCCCAATAGTTTGACACTCCAAATATGGATTAGCCAGATTGCTCATTGTCTTAAACTGTGTACATTGATTTTTTCATGTCCTAAGGTGTTTACAATAAAGGACACCCACATGATGCTTGTAAAAGCATCTTGAAAGATGTGTCTAGGAAAACGGAAATTGATTTCTTCATAACATTTTATACAATATGACATTCTAAAAGTACCCATTTTCAAAAAAGTCCTGCTGTTCTTCACAAAAGGAAAAACTGTGGTTTGTACAAATAAAACATTCAGTTTCTCATTTAGTCTTCCTTTTTAATCATCTAGTCTTGAATAGCTTTCCCATATGTCAAATTATTTTTAATGTTCAATGTATTAGTAAAATGGCTCAGTACTAACCACTTGGGTATTTTCAGATAGGAGAAGTATGGTTGAATCTCCCAAATTGCATTTACAGTGAAAGATGCTTCATGCCAGTGACTCAGATCTTGACAAACGAGGCACGACGTTCATTAGTTTAATGTTTTCCCCCTATTGTGATAGAAATACATAATGACACAGCCTAAGTAATGTGAAATTATTCAGCAATGTAAGAAAAATTTCAATAAGCACTGCCTACCAGTTACAGTTCTTAAGCTCATCTTCAGATTTCTTCAGTAGAAAATTACTTAGGAGATTCTGGAGAACTCACTACCTTTTCTGTTATAATCTTAGCTAAAATCATTATCCCTTATTTATTTTTCTCAATTTTTCTCAAAACAGTCAAATTAATACAGTGAATTCTTAGTTTCCATGAGACTTTAGGATAAAGGATACAAAGAGTCATGAGGAGGCTAAGATAAATTACTGTGGTAAGCATTTCACAATGTATACAGATATCAAATCATCACATTATACACCTTAAATATATAAAATTTTTTATCATTTACACCTCAATAAATCTGAGAAAAAAGAGGCTAAGATAATAGTGTTACTTAGATATTATAGTGTGTATAATCTTGTGGCAGGTATTTTAGAAGCAGGGAATATATCTTAAAAGAATAAAGGCAATGTCAGGAGGTCATCTGTCCTATCATCTTGGCATTAGGCAGGACTACATCTAAACCCTCTGAAATTGCATGGTGTTATGTAAAGAATGATAGCTTAGATATCATGAAACCTTTGCTCTAGTTCAGGTGGTGCTTTATAGTTTCTAGATCTCAGCCTCTTCATTTACAAAATTAAGTGATTGGACTCCTCTAGTCACTCAATGATAACAAAGCACCTTTTAAATAAATTTGCCTTACCTGGATAGACCCATCAGGGAGTTGTTTTAGTTTATTTTATATCATTCACGTATTTTTCCATTTAAATACTATTTTCTCCTTAATTGTGAAGTCAGTTGATTACTATTGTGTAGAGTTGTACATCTACTTCCCTGATACATAGGTGTTATTTGATCCATCAAATTGTGTTGTTCAGCTCTGACTTAAAGCAAGGATTCTCTGTGCTACAATATAATAAGCACAGAAATTGTCATCAGGTGACCTGGGTTTAACCCCTGGCTCCACACATTTGTAGGTTCATGACATTGGATGTATCCTTGACCTTCTATGATACTATTTATTCATCTGTAAAGTGGTCAGTCATTATAATCACTCCCATGCACACACTCACAATTGCCTTGTTCCTCTCTCACTTTATTATACTTCTTTAGCAAAGCACCCCTGGTTGAATAAAACTCTCAGGCTCTTCCATGTGTGTATGGTGGAACTGAACGTGGCTAGAAACAGAACAAATTTGTTAGCTGATCTCACTTGAAATTCCTAATTGCAAACCTCAAGTGGGCCTTCAATGCCATCTAAAGCCATACATTTTTCCCCATTCAGTTTTACTTTCCCACTCTTTTTTTTTTAAAGATTTATTTATTTGACAGAGAGAGACACAGCGAGAGGGAGCACAAGCAGGGGGAGTGGGAGAGGGAGAAGTAGGCTTCCCCACTGAGCAGGGAGCCCAATGCGGGACTCGATCCCAGGACTCTGGGATCATGACCTGAGCCGAAGGCAGATGCTTAACTGACTGAGTCACCCAGGTGCCCCTCTTTCCCACTCTTTTAAGTGACTATATTTTGCCTTCTTTTTCCTAATGCCCTTCCAGCTCCCTTGCCTTAACTCTTAGATGATGAGTGTTCAGGTAGGAGAGGCCATGTGACTAATGTTGACTTTTTGGAATGGAGATGGAAGTCATGTGCTTGATTTCTGGATCATCTCAAAGAAAACAAACTTCCATGGCCATTTTTTTCTACCCATGAACTAGAACATGGACATAGCAGCAACCTTGCTTTGACCATGCAGTTGAAGGCAACTTTAGGGAATGTCAGAGCAGAAAGAACATATGAATGTTGTTCCCTGAGTGATTACTTTGAGCAGAGTACCTCCTCCAGTTCAGAACAACTGAACTGTTAAATGAGAGAAAAATAAACTTTGGCTTTATGTAAGCCACTATATGTTGGTATTTCTTTGTTATATAGCCTCAACTATAAGAATATATATTTAATGATTGAGGTTTAAATTACATACAATAACATGCATAGATCTTAAGTGTCCAATTCTTGTTAAAGTTTATAATCACATATAATCCCACCCCCAAAATATATATAGAGAATATTTCTTTCATCCCAGAAAGTTCCCTTGTCTTTTTTCCCATCAATCCCCATAGGCAACCATTTTCTAATTTCTATCAGTATAGATTAGAGTTGTCTCTTAGGGACTTGATACAAATGGGAAAACAGTATGTACTGTTTGGTGTCTGCCTTAACTAAGCATGTTTTTGAGATTCATCCATGTTACATGGAACAGTTCATTCTTATTTATTTTGGTTGTAATTTTAAATATTAATATACCACAATTTGTTTATACATTTCCCAACTGATTGACATTTGGGTTGTTCTCTATTTTTGATGGTTATGAATATTGATGCTATGATCATTCTTATGGAAGTCTCTCTTCATACTGAACAATTTCTTGTACTGTGTCCAGTCTGTTATTAATCCCATGGGATAAGTTCTCCACTTCTGATTTTATATTTTCTAATCCTAGCATTTTCATTTTGAAGGTTTTTATAATACTTTCCATCTCTTTGGTGAAATTCTTTATCTGTTATCATATGTTCACCTTTTCAAATAAATATTCTATGCATTTATCATAGACATTGTAAAGCTCCTACTTGATAACTCCAACCTATAACCATCTCTGAGTATGCTCCCTTTGACTATTTCCTCTCTTGATCATGGGTTATAACTTACTGCTTTTAACATTTCTCATAATTTATTGTGTTCTGGATATTGCATATAAAGGAACACAGTAGAAGAGTGCCTGGGTGGCTCAATTGGTTAAGTGTCTGACTCTTTTTTTTTTTTTAATGATTTTATTTATTTGGCAGAGAGAGAGAGAGAGAGCACAAACAGGTGGAGTGGCAGACAGAGGGAGAGGGAAAAGCTCCCCCCACTCAGCGGGGAGCCCGATGCGGGGCTCGATCCCAGGACCCTGGGATCATGACCTGAACCGAAGGCAGATGATTAACCGACTGAGCCACCCAGGTGCCCCAGCATCTGACTTGATCTCAGCTCACGTCTTGATCTCAGGGTCATGAGTTCTAGCCCCATGTTGGGGTCCACAGTGGGTGTGGAGCCTACACTAAAAAAAAAAAAAAAAGAGAGAATATAAAAGACTCTAAAGTAAATATTTTTCCCAGGAAGAGATATCTCTTCTGTTGAGTCACTAAATGCATTAGAGGTGGGGAATTAAATCTTTCGAATCTATAGTTGACATGAGTATGAGCTTTTTCTTCAATTTCAGTTAGATTTATTTCACCATTAATTTCAAATATTTCAAAGGTAGGGTCAGAACTTCCCCTTCAAAGGATATGAAAGTATCAGCAAGATACTAGAGAATACTTTATGCTTAATACTGCAGTCACCAGCTTTCTAGTCCATGGTGGGAAATCACTCTGCCTTACAGAGTGGCTTGGCCAACAATGACTAGGTTGCCTTGAATTCTCTTTGTTCTTCAATCTTGTCTCTGGATTTCTGGTCCTTGGGTGATCTCTTCTGAGTTGCCTTGCCCTAAGCTTTTGGAGGGCCACTGCACTGACCTTGACGAAGAGCCAGCTCTCCTGTCATATCTTCAGGCTTTGGCTTTTCACTGAATGCTCAATGTGTGCCTTAGTGGGGGATCTTTCTCAGCTCTCCTGCCTCCACTCAGTCTTTGCTGAAATACCCCTGTGGTCTTGTTGAAGACCCATAGGAAAGAGTTGGCAGGCAGATACAGACTTGCTTGGATGTGGGAGCTCTTAAGAAATCTATTCTGGGGGCGCCTGAGTGGCTTAGTCTGTTAAGCATCCAACTCTCGATTCAACTCAGGTCATGATCTCAGGGTCAAGAGATTGAGCCCCGCGTCAGGTCCTGTGCTGAGTGTGGAGCCAGCTTAAGATTCTCTTTCCCTCTCTCTCTGCCCCTCCCCCTCCACTCATGCACACTCTCTAAAAAAAAAAAACAAATAAATAAAAAAGAATTCTATTCTGTAACTCCAGGCCACCTGTGGCCATTAAATGTCTATTAAAAGTTTTGCTCTTTTCTCCTAACCCCCATATCTAAGGAATTTTTCTACCTCTTCCCACTTTGTCAAGGATGGAAGCAGCAGCAGTTCTCGTATCACCTAGAAAGGGATTGAAATCTATGTGTTTTGTTCACTGAGACATTCCCAGCTCTCTGGTGGGTTTTTAAAATTTATAACTTTACATATTATCTAGGTTTTTCTCATTGATAGAGTGAGAAGGATGATTTATTTTGACTTCCTATAACTTAACTGGAATTGAATAATCAAAATATTTTTTAAAGATTTTATTTATTTGTTTCAGAGGTACAGGCCTATGATTCAACAGTCTTACCCATATATTAAAAAAAAAAGAAGATAGCAGGAAGGGAAGAATGAAGGGGGGAAATTGGAGGGGGAGACGAACCATGGACTATGGACTCAGAAACAAACTGAGGGTTCTAGAAGGGAGGGGGGTAGGGGATTGGTTAGCCTGGTGATGGGTATTAAAGAGGGCACGTTCTGCATGGAGCACTGGGTGTTATATGCAAACAATGAATCATGGAACACTACGTCAAAAACTAATGATGTAATGTGTGGTGATTAACATAACATAATAATAAAAAAGATTTTATTTATTTATTTGACAGAGACAGTGAGAGAGGAAACACAAGCAGGGGGAGTGGGAGAGGGAGAAGCAGGCTTCCTGCTGAGCAGGTAGCTTGATGCAGGGCTCGATCCCAGGACCCTGGGATCATGACCTGAGCCGAAGGCAGACACTTAATGACTGAGCCACCCAGGTGCCCCTGAACTAATAAAATTTTTATTCATTATTGAATAGATTAGAACACAGAACACATTAAAGTTCTTTTTAAAAAAGATTTATTTATTTTAGAGAGAGAGAGAGAGAGAGCATGCGGGGGGAGGGGCAGAGGGAGAGAGAATCCTGAAGCAGACTCC